GCCTCTGATTTGCTTCCTCTCCTCCCCTCTATCTCCCTCCATGCTCCAGGACACAAGGGCTTCCTGCTGTTTTCAGCTGCCTCTTTTCCCCCACTCACGCACTGGCTGTTTCCTGCTTTTTCGTGGTTTTCCTGCACTTTTTCTCAGGGAACAGGCTTTTTCACAGGGGACATACCGATTTCACAGTTTCCATGAAAATCACAAAATGGCAATTTTGGTAGGTGCCTAAACATATTGTCTTAGACTCCTACACTTCTAATTCTTATTTCATAAATAATGTAATTTTGATGTCATCATAGTAGCTAGGCTCTGTTACAAGCAGCAGTTTATTTGTAAGGAAGGAGCCATTTTTCTCGTCTTCTTTTCCCATTTGGGGGTGGGATCTAGGGCTGTTTCTCTAAGGATTGTCTTTATTTCAACTTGTTTTTGGACTGAGCCCTTTGTGAAGGATGATATGTGGTTTTCCATTTTGAAGAAGAGGAGTTTTGTGACCCGTTAAAAAAAAACAGTTACACTTGTTAGTAGTGCATTCCACACTTTTACGACTAAGCCCGTGGCACATGTCTGTGTAACTGGTACATAACATGATGCTGAATCAGCCTACATAAATAAATTGCAACATATTATTGCATTTAATCACTAATAAAATGTGTACATGCACCTTGAGTGTTTTTAATTATGTGTTTATTATTAAAGCATGTTTTCTCTACTCTTCCTATAAAGTTTTAATGTAAGAAAGAATTTGTGAATCTAAATTTAAGCTTAATTGTATTATTCAAGACATCTTTGCATCTGGCAAATTGCTGTGAATGTTCATTACAAACCTACTTGATGTTCATGGCAATAATTGAACACTTGCAGTAACAGAAAGGCCACTTTTAAGAGATTGAAAACAGAAAAAAAGATGTTGATTATAAGTGTGGCCTCCTGCAAGGGGAAACTAACTGGTTAACTTCAAAGATATTTCTCCCTGATCCTTTCTCATACAGGAGAGGAATAATTCCATTGAGTTAGTTAATAAACCAGTGGAAACACTTTAGGATGGGCAGGAGTTTGCATGAGGGCAAGGCATTTTTGTGGGGAATCCATGCTGACCCTTTGCCCCTTGAGCATCTTCACTGTCCCTACAACTTTGTTTTCAGTAAAGCAGTGATTGCCAAGAGGGCTCCAACTCCACTATGAGAGTGCATTTCACCATGCCTGCATTAGTATTAAGCTATCTAACTTGGGTACTAGTAGCACTTTAACCACAGTATCATGTAGCTCAGTGGGGGCTAATTTAATCTGAGTCTTCAGCACATTTTACGGCCTACCCTGGGTTCCCTACTGGCCACACTGGTGAACAGAGCTAGTTCACCTCAGAAAGGGCAATAAAGAACTCTAGTCTAAAAGGTGGTCCAGAAAGCATGTTTCTTTCTGTATTTCAGAGAGGTTCAAGAATGACTGTGAATGGTGAGTTTCCCACCCAATATATTTCCACTGGGGCACAACAGGTTCTTACCACCCTGATGCAAGGCTGGGCTTTGGAAATATAAGTGAAACTTAAGTAGAGGTAATTGCTAATTCACAGATATATTTGTAGTCTATGACCCTTAAGTTTGTAGTAGCGGGTTAAAATCCTCAGATGAAACACAATATAAACCACAAAAGATATGTCCCAGTCCTGCAATTTTTTCCGTAAGAGAAGTCCTTAGTCACAAAGGTAAAGCTTCTAAAATACATAGATATTCCTCGGTTGCTGTGACTCCAGTTTCCGACAGTCACTTGGTCTTTTTCAGAATTATCTATCATGCCAGATCATTCAGTTTTCCCTCAGCCTTACCACAACCCATTGTAACAGAACTGATGACTTTACAAGTTCACATCTCTTCTGAGCCCTCTCTGACTTGCCAGCTCTTCCTTTTTTACATTGATATGATGGTTTCGCTCTATGATGCCCTGTCCTTCACACTTAACTCTTTTGATCCTCATTTGCTCTCCTCCTCTAATCTTCCATTTCTTCAGTAACTCCATCAGATACCCTGATCATTAGGGCTGTGCAAAGCTTCAGTCCCTGATTCAATTTGATCTGAATCAAATCAGAGGACCCTTTAATCTCTCCAAATTGAATCAGAACCCTTTGAATTGATTCAGAAAGATTCGGAGATTTGGACATAGACAGTTTTAAATGTTTTTTTTACGTATCTCTAGGTCACAGACAGCTCGTGAATGCTGCAAAGCTGGGGTCCATGGAGCTGGGTCCAAGCACTTCCAGTCCACTTCCGGGTCTGCTGGGGAGTGCGTGGGGGGCCCCACAACAAACCCCCTGGCTCAGCAACTGGTGCCTCCTGGGTCTCGGGGTGGGACATGGAGGGTCCCCCCCCCCCGGCTGATCGCCGAGCCGGGGAGATGAAAGGGGGACCCCCTGTGCACTCCCTGGTGGATCCAGAAGTGAACCCGGGTTTTACCACTGAGCACATGGAGGGCCCCTCACACTCCTGCATTTTTCCTCTGATATTACAAACATATCTTAGTTTCTGCCATCTTAAAGAATATAATTATTGATCCCTTTGCCTCTCCAGCTACTGCCCCATTTCACTTCTCTGTTTCATCTCTGAATTCACTGAATATACCATTTAAAATCATTATTGGGAATTCCTCTCCTTCAGTTCCATTCTAGACCCTTTCCACTCCAGTTTCTCTTACACTCTGATGAAACCGTGCTTGCCAAAGTCTCTTAAGACTTCTTCCTAGCCAAAGCTAAGAACCAGTACTCCGTCCCTTCACCTTTCTTGGCCCATCATTCATCTTTGATACTATCAAACATGATCTTCTTTGAAAACTTGTCTTCCCCTGGTTTCTATGACTCTGTCATTGCTAGGTTCTCCCCTTACCCTACTATTGTTCCTCTCAATTGGCCTTCAGAAATCCTCCTTCTTTTCGAACTTCCTTAGGGTGGGGGAGATGGGAGGAGAAAAGGGGGATCCACAAGTCTCTGTACTTTGATTCTTTAATGTTCTCCCTAACCCCAGGAGAACATTCATAATTTCTCACAAATTCAACTCCTATATGTATGGTGACAATGAATAACTAATAAATCTGTAACTTTATTATAGGCTAATTCCTTGCTCAATTAGTGTGAGCACTATCATCCTACCCTTCCCTCAAGCAAAAAATTAGGGCATCTTCAACTTGGATGTCTATGTCTTCCCATCCAATCTATGTCGAAATCTAGTATATTCTTTCTTCATAATATCCTGTTCATTCCGTTTCATCCAAGGCCTCATCACCATCTTATTACTGCCTCACAGATGTATTCTGGCAGCACTCATAGCCAGCTAGACTACTGTATCCAGAGTATAATGGCGCTATGTCGATTATAGTTGATGGAAAAAAGGTTCATAAATGGGAAAAAAGTGGCTCAACAAAAATGTTCAAGATATCATTCAAGAAAACAAATAATTGGATTCTAGAATCTGTGGACCCATAGATTTTGACTTAACCACTTTATATCACTGCATCTGAAATTAGCATAGTACCTCTAGGAGAAATCACTGAATGGATGAAGCATGCCACAATTATGCTAATTATGAAAAATAAAAGCATGGATCATGAAATAGTTTTCAGCTACTGATCAATCACTTCTCCTACCCATGAGGAGATTATTAACATCAATCATACTAGATCAGATCTATTATGACTCATAATAGGAACATAAAAGAAGGAAATAAAATAAAATAAAAGTAGTACCAAAGAGCAATTTCTAACTGACAAGCTGGTCATGAAGACTGCCAAATGAAGAAAAATACTCTCAGCGTAATATAGACTGACTTCTAAAAGGTTTTTGATTCAGGCCCACATTCACGGACATGGAAAATATTAGGAATATATAGCATAATGAGAAACTCCATTAAATGTGTAGATTTGGTTCTGACCATGTAGAAGACCTGCCTCACCATCCAATACTGCAGTTCAGCCACTGTTAATATACACTGAATAATCCTCCAAGGAACTTCTTGGCCACTCCTGCTTTTAATCATTTGCCTCCTGCCACTATTCACCACTTGGAAGAAAATGTCACCAATTCAACAAGCAAATATTAGTATCAGCATCTGCTTGGGGCAGAGTAGAGCCAGCTGCTGCAAAATATGAATGCCCTCTGGAGAAGTACAGGGGAGCAGGGGCACGCGCTAGGGCTGTGCAAAATGGCACCATTCCATTTCGACTTGTGTTTCGCTGTTTCAACGGAGCAGCGCTTCATTTTGAATTTTGTTTAGATTCAGAACCACTGTTCCATTTCATTTCGTTGAAACAGTTTTGCTGTTTCAACGTTTTGCCCATAGGCTATAATGGGGAAGCTCAAAACAGCCTATTACTTTGTCATTTCTGGCCTGATTTGGATGAAACTTGCAGGAATGGTAGCCCCTTCTGAGGACATGACGCCTGCCACATTTCAAGGAGATAGGTGCAGGGGTTTCAGGGAAACTGCACCTCAAGATGCAGACAAGCAAAACTCATGACATGGATGACACTGTGTGTGTGTGTGTTAAGGCACAGGAGGGTGAAAACTGCAGGCATGCTAGTTGCTACTGAGGCCACGAAACCTGCCAGCTATCAAGGAGATAGGTGTAGGGGCTTCTGGATTCTGGGGCCCTGCACCTCTAGCTGCTGACAAGCAAAACTCCTGACATGGGTGCTTGTGGGACTATGTCTGTCTTGGGGCGCACAGGGTGAAAACTGCAGGCCTGTTAGGCCCTGCTGCAGCCACGAAGCCTGCCAGCTGTCAC